CTGAACGTATGGCCAGTAATCCATCCCAAGTCTGCGGTCGAGAAAAACACGTCTCCGTCGGTGTAATTGAATACTGTTTTGAATGTTAGGTAAGAGTAGAGGAGATAACCGCCGATTGTGTGGACAATCCCTTTAGGCTTTCCCGTACTTCCACTAAATCATGTGGTAAATTGTGTTTTGCATTAATTATTGTGTTATAATAATTAATGTTAATACTAAAAATCACATGTATTTTTGTGATATTTAATATTAATTGCTGCTTAATTTGTAAATTGTTATGAAATAATCGTATTCTTGTTATTACTTAAGAAATTGCTAAGTTCATACATATTTTTAGTTAAATTTTAGTTACTTAAATGGTATAACAATAACTAAGAGGATATTTTATTTAAGCTTTTATTTAAACAATAAAAATTTTATTGACAAAGACAATTGACAATGATAATTTTACAAAATATAATAACTTAACAAACCTGGTATAAAGTACGAAGAGTGGGTCTTCAGCCTCCATCCATTCGGGTTCGCAATAGTCGCTAACATTAGTCATGACATCAGTCCATAGGATGTCCACATTTGGGTCCCAATTAATCACTGAATTATAATCTGTATTATTATTGTTGTTGACATCAATTATGTTAATCCTATTGAGATTTAAGTGTGGGCTCACAATACATGCTTTTACTCTGTGGTTCCTGTATTTAAAAATAATTTTTATATGATATTAATGTTTTTTATAATGTTTTTACATTTGTTTGCATAGATTGAGTGCTGAGTCGGCGATTGATTTCAATGGTATGAATTTGTTGGCCCGAAAGGCGCCGTCAAAAGTCACTAATACTACACAATTGGCGTCTATTATACGGTCGGCCAGAGCTTCGGCCGAGAATCCGGCGAACTATTAAATTATAATTTTGTATCCAAAATTATCAAGTTTAAATTACATCAATATAAATTTGCATATACTGTACATACAATGACAGAGTGAATGGCACCGATGCGAGCGCATGCCAACATAACAATGACCAACTCTATGGTCACCGACATATATACGGCCACTCTATCACCCCTTTTAATGCCCAACCCTTTCAACACATTTGCAAATTTGCAGACATAGCGCAGTAATTCATTGTAAGTGATTTGTTTGTGTGATTTATCATCATTGGATTCCCTATTGTTATAAAAATAAAAATATAGTAAAATATTACGAAAAAGCATTGAGATATGTTTCTCTTACAGAGAAATAGTCTTTGTAATTGTATTTAAAAAACGGATTCCTATTTGACACTGTTTTATTAAATATTTTTTCAAATTTCCTGTCATGAATCAATCCCGGTCCGGTCCTGTCCTGTTCCGGTACCGTATAGGACAAGATTCTGGGTTGCAATTACAAAGACTAGTTTATACAGTATATTAACAATTATATGCTATCTACACTTGGTATAAATTTTAATCATTACTAGTAATATCAATATTTAGAAATTAAATGTAGACATCACACAAAATATTTAGGTATTACATATTTTCTTAAAAATATTGTATTTATAAAATATTAATTTGTAAAACACTAACCAATAATAGGCGACACGATCTCCGAGTCCTTTATTGATAATCAAATCCAAGATATTGTAAGACATATTGGTTTGACATCCGTCTAACCATTTGACACAAACGGGTCCTTTAGTGACATCGAAATTATAGGACACGACCTCTACTTCTTGTGGCCATCGCTTCCAGAAGAAGTGATTCGCGATTTTCATCCAAAAGCCTTCGGGATCTGAAACTGACTTCTGGTATAGTTTTTTATACTCATCGATGGACGAGATGTGAGCCGTCGAGCGGTACTCTTCGGACGCATAATAGACATTATTGTCACTCAGTTTACTGACAGCCATTAAAATGTATCACTTTTTCTATATGTTTAACAATTAATTTCTAAAATAAATAAAGTTAAAAACTTTATATAGTTAAATATTGAAAATGATTATTATTTCTATTTGTTAATAATAATCATGATAAATTATAATTGAAAGAATCTCACAATTAGTTGACGTGTAAATAAATGTACACTTTAATTTAGATATTGGTAAATACAGCAATTAATTAATTAATTTAAATATTTACGTCTACTATACTTTGCAATAGAATAGTAAGACTACCACGATTTACAATGACATTTTATTTTTAGAAAATCAATCTCATAAACAAATAAGCAAAGCATCATGCTGATTGATCAAATTAATTAACTTTTTTTAAATAATAGAATATTAAAAATGTGTGAACTTAGATTTATTTACAATATATTATATTTAATTGTTAATTGTGAAAAATATTATTATTTAATGAATTGTATTAAATAAAAATAGAAAATAAATTTCAACATGTTTTAAGGGTAATAAAAAATATAATTGATTTATGTTTATTAGCAATACAATTATGTTTAAGATTATGAGCTATAAACTGATTTCAAATCAACATAGCCTTTAAAGTTTAAAGGCACTAAACCTTTAGTGATTTTAAAACATTAATTATTGTATATACAGTATTACTATTTAAATATTTGTTAAGTGTTTATTATATAATATTGTCGCAGATGTATAACTTAATTAATATTTAAAAGTATCTTATTGTTTGGGTCTGTTTGAGACACTTTTCAATTAAGAAAATTAAAATATCACTTTAATAACTGAATGCAAAACGTACTTGAAAAAATTAGAATAATAATAACCTTGTTTATGTTTTTATGTTGTACCTTGATATAAAATAAAGCATTATTGGTAATATGTTAATTAAATTTATCTCAAATTAAAATGATTTTACAGATATTCTCATTTTTAAATGAATGCTATAAATTATAGCCTATAATACAATCATTATTTAAACAATAGATTTAATTATTAACATATTACTGTAAAAACTTTTATTTTAATTAAACTAAAAATGTTATAAATTAAAAGTTATAATAAGATCTTTCACATTTAGTTAAAAATATTATAAAATTAGTTTCATTTCCAATAATTTGTGGCAAACTATTAAATAAATCAATCAAATATACTAACATAATATTTAAACGTTTTATTTAAATATTATGAAAGTTTTATCAATATAAGTTTATATTATTAATATTTTAAAATAAATGTCTTGATTATTCAACTACAATCTTAAACATTATCTTAAAAAACTTGATTTATCAGGAACAATTTGCAAATTTAATTAAATATATACTTATAAAATTATTTTAAATTAAACTCTGGACTCAAATGAAGTGACGGGAGTTCGGGAAAAAGTCGTCGGAATGATGGATAGCGCAGATCGGGATCTCCAGGGGTTGTCCGCGCGGGACCCGCACGTGTCGCCCAACGGGGTTAGTTGTATCATTTAACAACTAATCTACATTTTGACAAAAATACGAACATATTTATACAAAATACAAACCCAATAGTGGCTAACGTGGGCATAAAAATGAGTACAAAACTAACGGTGCGGGAACGGGGATAGCCAACATAAAAACAGGACCCTACCGATAATCCACAGTAAGCTTAGGGTAGGAATTACGTTCAGCACCTGCAGGAGCTCTAAATAGGTGACCATAATCAGTTGACTGATTAATGGCAAAATAAACTGCTCCAGAGAGTTTAGGAAAATATTCTTAGCCAATTGAATGAGATGCTCGTGATCAGCGCTCGGGTCGATTGCGGGACTGTGGGCTTGACTGGACATTACGTAAAACAGACACCACACCAGCCATACCACGCAGGGTGTCGAGTGCCGTAACACGTATTGTATGCGCGCCGGCAGTTGTGTTAAGTTTTCGGCCGTCACTGACTGACGTATGATGCACCTACGTGCAATAAAAATGTATTTCAAAACATATCAATTTATTGTAATTGGTACATGGTCAATTTGAATAATATTGTTTTGATAATGATAATTTATTTGTATTCCTATGAATAATTCTTTACTATCAGTTATAAAGTGATTTTGTTAAATTTAATTAGTTTTTGCAAGCTTTAGATAATAGTATTTAAGCAAATATCTAACAGCAAATTTCATTTAAATAACAAGTTTAGGATTTAAACTGTTTGATAAAGAGATCCCATTTTGAACATTAATACAAATGTCGACTCAATTTGTCACAACATTTATCACACAAAACCTGTGGTACTTGGTTGCAGCTATTATAGCCGTTTTGATCACGTATAATTATTTGTAAGCATCATATATTACATAATTTTTATATTAACAAGCTATTAAAAAAAACAATTGGAAAATCCAACCTACCTATGTGATAATTTAGGGCTATTAGGACTAAAATTAGCTTGGTTTTAACTATCAAAAATTAATAACAATCATTTTTTAAAATTTATTTGTATAGCAAATGGTACCGTATATTGAATTACTGGTCGGAACGCAATATCTCGGGTCCGAAACCCATCCCATTGTTTGGCAATAATTTAAGTCTTTTACTAATACCGAGTTCAGCCGTTGATATGGAGTGGTGTAACGCTTACGGCCGAGTCTTCGGGTAATGAGATTTAAATTTAAATTATTTGATTAAAATAAACGCATTTTGAAATTATATAATCGCCTAAACGTATAATAGAGTCTATAATTGCGAGAAACCCTCATTACTGGTGTCGGATCCGGTGCTCATCAAACAGATAATGGTGCAGAACTTTCACGCCTTCACTAATAGAAGTAATGCACTCGAGAACGAGATGACCGGCAAAACGCTGATTCACGCCAGGGATGGCCATTGGAAACGGCTCCGAATGATAGTGAGCCCCACCTTCACGTCCGGCAAATTGAAACACATGTGTCCACTCATCGACGACTGTTGCGGCGACTTATTGGCCGCACTCGACAGAGTGGTGTCCACCGGCGGTCAGCCACCAGTGGTGGAGCTCAAGCGACTGATGAGCGCCTATAGTATAGATGTGATCATCAGAACGGCGTTTGCCACCAAAACCAATCTCTATTCCGACCCAAACAACCCGTTCCTCACTAAAGCCGTACTCTATGTAAACAATCAATTTTCAATTAAAATATGGCATAAAATATTGGCAATGATTTTACCCATATTTATAACCGACACATTTTGTTGGAAATGGTTGATAACCGGCGGCGAACCGCCGATCACTACATCCCTCATCGCTAGTGCGCGGCGTTTATTGGTTGAGCGCAAAACGTCGGCCCAAAAACACAACGATTTCCTACAGTTGTTGATCGACGCGACGGCAGTGGAGGACAACACCAACACTACCGCCACTACCGGTGCGGACACCGCCGGCGATGCGCCCGAAGAGGACTTGATTGCAGGGAAACGTGCGTTGAGTGGAGTCGTAGAGAAGAAGTTAACCGAAGATGAAATCCTCGCCCAAAGCGCCTTATTTTTCACCGTTGGCTATAATAATACGAGTACTACTCTGTCGTACTGTACGTATGAATTGGCACTCAATCCCGATATTCAGGATCGGTTGGTGGCGGAGATCAGAGACGCGTTCAATGAAAACACTGCGGACATAGACTACGAAACCCTTCTCCGACTCCCACTCCTCGACGCCGTTATATCGGAAACCCTTCGCAGATATCCTCCGGTGAACCGCATTATAAGACAGGCGTCGGAAAACGTGGTGCTGACTAATGATGGCGACGGACAACGGGTTACGCTTGAGACAGGATTTCTGGTTGAGATACCGGTGTATGCCTTACATCACAACCCGGACTATTTTCCCGACCCGTTTGCCTTCAAACCCGACCGCTTTTTGCCCGAAAAGCGTCATCACATCAAACCCTATACATACTTACCGTTCGGCTCCGGACCCCGTAATTGCGTTGCAATGCGCTTTGCGTTGCTTGAGCTCAAACTGACCATGGTCAAAATGATGCAACGATTCCGTTTCTATCGGGTGCCCGACACGGATGTGCCGCCAGTGTTGCTGATCGGTCGGGAAGACTTACAGGCGAACAAAGTTGTTGTCGGTGTTTGTAAACGTTAGTCCCAACACAACCCACAATGAATTATAGATATCAATTCAATTAGTTTAGTTCAGAAATAAATTAGTATTAGATCATGAATAATGACTGTAATTAATTATTTGAAATAATTGTATTGGTCAAAATTAAAAATTAATAAAAATTGTCACACAACGTATTGTATTTCATTAATCAGTGTAATTTCACACATAAATAACTGTCTTGCCTTAATAGTGCTGTCTTATGGTAGCGGCAGTAACTCGGCGCCGACCGGCTACGTATTACCGCCCCGTGAAGGGCATGATGCTCACTTATTATAAGTATAATTATTACATGTACGGTATATTTTAGCGAAATTAATTTAATAAAACAAACTTACTAAAACAATTAATATTTTAAACAAGATTTATTAACATAAGATAGTTAGATAAATAATCTCACATATTTGTACGATATGTATATAACAGTGATAAACATTGGCCAAAATCCTAACTCAAACCCAAAAACCCGATTTTTAGGGTATCCGAGAAAAAATAATACCCGACCGACAATAAACAGCATGTTTAGTATTGGTATTATATTGAGCACATATTTGGGCTCCAAATATCCAACAAGTATTAACTGCGAGACCAACGATATTGTAAATTGTTCTAGTGAGTTCATGAATATGTTCTTGGCCATATTATGTGCTCTCTCACTAGGTTTGCCAATTAAATCATGGTCGTTCTCATGCGTGTATATAACATACATTAAACAAAATATTAGCCAAACAGCACCCGAAGTAGAGTGTCTTAGCACATATTGTAGGCGTAGGCTATATTCTGATAAGCTATGCAGTCTTAGTCCCTGCAACTGGCCAAAGTTAATAAAATCCATGTATGTCACAATTGCGACAATGGTTAGCACCATAAGTGCCACCATTATTGCCAGATATGTTTTGCGATGAAAAATATCAATTTGACTTTGCTGATCACTATTTGACTGTTTATATTTCAGCATACTAATTATTTAAGTGTTTATATAACTAATAATTTATTTTAGTTACAAATAAGTAAAATTAAATAAAATAATTTATTCAATGACAATTGACAAAAATACATGTTGTAATTTGTATTAACTCCATAGAAATACTATGGTTTTAATTATCTTATCTATTGCAAATGGTTTTATAGAGTATTGTAAAATTCCTACAATGTAAATGCCAAGTAACCAACATGAATAATTTAATTAATGTGTGTACAGTATATCAATTTTAAAAAATATATTTAACAATATAAAATAAATATTTATTAAATATAATTTAAAATACCAGATAGCATATGTTGTGTAAAACCTGTCAAGGTAAAAAAATATATGCAACTATACTACTAACTTAATATAAAGTATAACTTTATATATACAGTATATGTATATATTTAAAACATACATTTACAATTATAATAATAAAATTTACATTAGTAACATTTACATTACATTAGTTAATGTATTGTTAAAATCTAAATGATTGCAAAAGTTATTAAATATGCGACAAATATTTGCTTAGATTCATGTGTTTTGCAATAGGTTTTTATCACCAGTACTAACTTATTACTGCCACCTGTTTATTAAGCTTAAGAAAATATAGCTACTTATAATTACCAGGTAGTTAATCTAGCTTTAGCTTGAATAGCCCTGAAAATATTAGCATTTGAAATATTAGCCCTAGAGCATATTGACTAATAAATCTATGAGCGATTTACTTAAAACCGGTTGTCTATGAAATGGATTTTCCTTAAAGTCTAATCAAAAGTGATTTTTAAAATCAAATATCATTTGTTTTGTTTGTTTTCACGTTTGAATAAAAAAGTTAATTGTTATTAAATATTAATTTAAACAATGTTTTGGACGAGAAATATAGACACGTACAAGAGGGCTGTCCTTATTACAGGTACTTATGTTGTATAATTTTAATTGTTTGCTAATAAGTTAACATTTATTATGCTTTACATCATTATTAATATTGCATTTTAAACCACTCATGCTGTATATATTGTTTTAATTGTTACAAAACATTATACTTAATAAACTTTATTTACATTAAAATAATGCATGTTAAAATGTTACAAATACATTATTATTATTATTAAGGATACAAATAAATCCATTAAAAATAAGTATATTACAAATAAATTTTTACCATAGGCTGCGACACCGGTTTTGGATACCGATTGGCTCTACGGCTAAATGAGATCGGGTTTCACGTATACGCCGGATGTCTGGACCCTCAGGGGTCAGGCGCTGAGGAATTGCGGACAAAATGCAAACACGAATCAGCGATGTGTGTACTGGAGCTGGACGTGACTCGAGACGACCACATCGACCGGTGCTTTCATTACATTGCACTACATCTGCAAACCCATGGCTATGAGTTGTGGTCAGTGGTTAACAATGCAGGCGTTATAAAGTTTGGTAACCTGGAGTGGGGCACTGTTGATGATTATACCACGTTGTTCAACGTAAATGTAATTGGGGTGGTCCGGGTCACCAGGAAGTTCATACCATTTCTTAGACTATCACGTGGTAAGTGATTGATTGAAGAGAGAGAGAGAGAGAGAGAGAGAGATGTCAACTATTGATATTAAATTCAATGTAAAAATATTATAACTATAATTAAATAATTATTTATTAATACACAAACAACAGGCCGTATAGTAATAACCGCTAGTCTTGGGGGTCGGTTGGCGGCGGATCTGATGGGCGCTTACTGTATGACCAAAGCGGCGATCATCTCATTTTCGGACACATTGCGGCGCGAAATGCGCAAGTTTAACATCTCGGTCACCACAATTGAGCCTGGTGTATTCAAAACAGGCATGTTCTACAGCGCTCGACCCCTATTGGAAAGCTCGTGGAGCCGTACGGATGACGCTGTTAAGCGGGTCTACGGCCAGCCCTATGTGGACGAGTTGTTACGGCACTATACGGCCAATAAAGGTGTGGCCGCCGACGCCGGCGATGATATTGATATAGTGGTGAACGATATGGTGGCGGCAGTTGTCCGGCGCCGACCGGCCAGGTATTACCGCCCCGTAAAGGGCCTGATGCCCACTCTGGCGGCCCGGTTTGTAGCCCTAACCCCTCATTGGCTGATTGACTGGTATTTCCAATGGATCGATGATTTGGTGCCGGCGGTTATGACCGGGACAAGTGGGTCCGGTATTGATGAGGGTCAAAAAATGCTCTAGATTTTTTAATTAAAGTAGTTAATTATTAATTTATTAATAATCAGTTGAAATTAGAAATTAATTTGAAACAATATTACTTTTATTGTAAGTTTTGAAAAAATAAAGTATAAACACAATTTTACATTGATCAAACTGGTATTATTTATTTATTATTGTTATTTAACTGTAGTCAAAGATATAATAAAATAATTTTTGTGTAAAATTCTTTTATACAATTAATTTTATCTTATTTCAAATTTTAAGACATATAATATTATAATAAATATATACATATCTTACAATTATTTTTATTTGCAAAAATATAATCATCAACCGAAAACAAATAAAATTATTAAATGTTTCTTACATTTATAAAACAATTTTTGTAAGAATGTTTAATTGTACAAAAAATTAATTTAATTTTTAGATAGTTATAAAAAACCTATCATAAATTAATTTCAGGTTTTAACTAATGCTTATTTAAAACCTGAAATTACTTTTATACTTATATTATATGTAACTTTATGTAAATGTACAGTATAATAATATTATTCAATGTGTTAAAAAATTATGACGTTATAATTTTCTAGTCAAGTTATTTAATATTAATATATTGAGTTTAGTAATTATCGCAGATATAATTGTCGTAAATAATAAGATTTGCATTTACAAACAAGTGTAATTAATTATATTTTGTAATTAATAATTTGTGATTAAATAATAAGTAATACAATGTTTTGGAAAAGAAATATACTGTTGAATAAAAAGGCTGTACTTATAACAGGTACTGTAATTTTAATATATTGTGTTATGATAATATTACAGAGAAATTACTTTTAATCACAAGTAATGGCCACAAATTTATAATTGCTTTTCAAACCTTTAATATATTATAAAGTTTAATTGAACTTCGCTTATTTAATTATTTATATAATTTGTATTTAGATATACAATATTAATTTAAACAACTCACACACACAGCGATGCTATACGTTAACCACAATTCGGGTGATTCATAGGATTAGCATTGTCTATAGACTTAACATTAGTCCATAGGATTAGGATTAGTCCCATAGACTTATCATTGTCATAGACATAGCATTACCCATAGACTTAGCATTACTCATAGACTTAGCATTACCCATAGACTTATCATTGTCATAGACTTATTATTACCCATAGACTTATCATTGCCATAGACTTAGC